GATCTCTAAAATCCAACTCTAAAATTTTGGCTCCGAAAATAACTGATGGGTTGATGCCATACAAGGAATGATCACAGTAGAAATGTTTGATGGAAAAGATCCCCATGTATCCTAAAGAATGCAGTCCAGAGGAGGGTACTATATTCTGCAATACACATACCTCTTGTTTCTACTTCCTCTTGCACCATAACTATGCACTTCAAGAAAATTTCCATAACTGGCAAGTTAGTCATAAAGGACAAAAGCAATATCCACAATCAGTCCTATGATTGGATGTACTCCATACGAGGTAAAAAAAAGATACACTAATGTCTCCACCTTCCTCTTGTACCCACCTAAGGGAAACCGTTCAGAGGAGGATCAATATCAGTGTATCTTACCACCTCTTTGTATACTTATCCTATAAAGGAGCAAAACAGACTGGCACAACAATGTCCATAAAAAGGAACTTGACCATATGAATTATGCTCTAGCCATTGAGGAATATATGAGGATCTTTCAAACTTTTTGTGGCGTTAGAGGTTGCGGTCCCAACATAAGCATTCAGGCCATATACAGTTGCAAGAAAAAGTATGTGAACCCCTTGGGTTTACAAGGAGTTTTGCATGAACTGGGCATAAAATGTGCTCTGAACGGCATCTAAGTCACAACAATAGAAGAACACAGTCTGCTGAACATAATACTACACAAACATTAGATGTTGCCATGGTTTAATTGCACATAACATGTAAACATTCACAGTGCAGGGAGGAAAAAAGTATGTGAGGCCCTAGTTTAATGACTTCTCCCAGAGCTAATTGGAGCCAGGAGTGAGCCAACCTTGACTCCAATCAGTGTGATGATATTGGATGTGTTGCTGACAGCTGTCCTGCCCTTAAAAAAACACACACCTGTTTTGGGTTTACTGGTTTCAAGAAGCACTGTCTGATGTGAACCATGCCTCGCAGAAAAGCGCTCTCAGAAGACCTACGATCAAGAATTGTTTGACTTGCATGAAGCTGGAAATGGGTTACAAAAGTATCTCCAAAAGCCTTGATGTTCATGTGTCCACGGTAAGACAGACTGTCTACAAATGGAGAAAGTTTAGTACTGTTGCTACTCTCCCTAGGCGTGGTCGTCCTGTAAAAATGACTGCAAGAGCACAGCGCAGAATGCTGCATCAGGTAAAGAAGAATCCCACAGTGTCAGCTAAAGACCTACAGAAATATCTGGCACATGCTAACATTTTTGTTGACACATCTACAATAAGGAAAACATTAAACAAGAATGGAGTACATGGGAGGACACCCCGGAGGAAGCCATTGCTGTCCAAAAAGAATATTGCAGCACGTTTGAAGTTTGCAAAAGAGCACCTGGATGTTCCACAGCACTACTGGCAAAATATACTGTGGACAGTTGAAACCAAGATTGAGTTGTTTGGGAAGAAACACACAACACTATGTGTGGAGAAACAAAGGCACAGCACACCAACATCAAAACCTCATCCCCACTGTAAAACATGGGCAGAGGGAGCATCATGGTTTGGGGCTGCTTTGCTGCCTCAGGGCCTGGACGGTTTGTTGTCATTGATGGGAAAAATGAATTCCAGAGTTTATCAAGACATTTTGCAGGAAAAACGTTACGACCATCTGTCCGCCAACTGAAGCACCGCAGAGGATGGGTGATGCAACAGGATAATGACCCATAGCATACAAGTAATTCAACAAAACAATGGCTGCACAAACAGCACAGAATACGCCTTCTGGAGTGGCCCAGTCAGAGTCCTGACCTCAACCCGATTGAAATGCTGTGGCATGACCTTAAGAGAGCAATTCACACCAGACATCCAAGAATATTGCTACACTGAAACAGTTTTGTGAAGAGGAGTGGTCCAAAATTACTCCAGATCGTTGTGCAGGTCTGATCTGCAACTACAGGAAACGATTTTGGTTGAGGTTATTGCTGCCAAAGGAGTGTCAACCAGTTATTAAGTCCAAAGGTTCACATACTTTTTCCTCTTGCACTGTAAATGTTTACATGTTATGTGCAATTAAACCATGGCAACATCTAATGTTTGTGTAGTTTATGTTCAGCAGACTGTGTTCTTCTATTGTTGTGACTTAGATAACGTTCTTTCAAGCACATTTTATGCCCAATTCATGCAAAATCCACGTAATACCCAAGGGGTTCACATACTTTTTCTTGCAACTGTACTTATCATGATAGGCACTATGAAGAAGACATCCCAGTGTGAATTTCCAAACAAATATGATGGCAGATGCCCCAGAAAAGGAGACAGAAGTTTGAGGTTAAATTTGACTAAAGATGGGTATACAGTTGTGTTCAAAATAATAGCAGTGTGTTGAAAAAAGTGAATTAATAAAGCTCAAAATCCTTCTAATAGCTTTTATTTCCATACACACAAATGCATTGGGAACACGACACATTCTATTCCAAATCAAAACATGAAGAAAAATACATCAAATTTGTGTTATTCCTCTAAAAAAATGGAAGAAAAGTGAATATTAGACGGTTCAAAAAAATCGCAGTGTTTGTATTCTTCTTTACTAAAACTCAAACATTCACTATATAAACTGAGAAATGTTTGAAGATTTTGCTTTCCTTTGAATGACTTCATGAATATTTGGTTGTAGTCGCACTGTTTCTGAGAACTGCTGTACATCTGTGTTGCATGGAGTCACCCAACTTCTGGCCCCTGTGATCAGGTATTCCAGCCCAGGATGATTGGACGACATTCCACAGTTCTCTATTTCTTGGTTTTGCCTCAGAAACTGCATTTTTTATGTCACCCCACAAGTTTTCTATTGGATTAAGATCCGGGGATTGGGCTGGCCACTCCATAACGTCAATCTTGTTGGTCTGGAACCAAGATGTTGCACGTTTACTGGTGTGTTTGGGGTCGTTGTCTTGTTGGAACACCCATTTCAAGGGCATTTCCTCTTCAGCATAAGGCAGCATGACCTCTTCAAGTATTCTGATGTATTCAAACTGATCCATGATCCCTGGTATGCGATAAATAGGCCCAACACCGTAGTATGAGAAACATCCCCATATCATGATGCTTGCACCACCATGCTTCACTGTCTTCACAGTGTACTGTGGCTTGAATTCAGTGTTTGGGGGTCGTCTGACAAACTGTCTCCGCCCACTAGACCCAAAAAAGAACAATCTTACTTTCATCCGTCCACAAAATGTTGCGCCATTTCTCTTTAGGCCAGTCAATGTGCTCTTTGGCAGATTGTAACCTCTTCAGCACATTTCCCAACAGTGGGACTTTGCGGGGGCTTCTTGCAGATAGCTTGGCTTCACATCGGCGTCTTCTAATTGTAACAGTCCTCACAGGGAACTTTAGACCTTCTTTCATCTTCCTGGAGTTGATTGTTGGCTGAGTCCGCGCCATTTTGGCTATTCTTCTATCCATTCGAATGGTAGTTTTTCGCTTTCTTCCACGTCTTTCAGGTTTTGGTTGCCATTTTAAAGCATTTGTGATCATTTTAGCTGAGCAGCCTATCATTTTCTGCACTTCTTTATATGTTTTCTCCTCTCCAATCAACTTTTTAATCAAGGTACACTGTTCTTCTGAACAATGTCTGGAACGACCCATTTTCCTCAGAATTTCAGAGAGAAATGCACTGTAACCAGCATGTACAACATTTGCTGCCTTCCTTCCTTAAATAAGGGCAATAATTGCCACCTGTTTTTCAAAGAATGAATGACCTCACTAATAGAACTCCACACTGCGATTATTTTGAACATGCCCCTTTCAATGAGTGATTCAATTACACATAATCAGCAGCATGCATGTCATGACTGTTGGGTCTGTTGGATTTCTATTACTCTACTACACCTGCTAGGAAATTATTTGCCATGTAGAAATATAATTTCTACCAAAAACAGTGATTGATCAGGTTAGTGATGTCTGACTGCTATTATTTTGAACACAACTGTACATGTACATGTACTGAGCCGGCCAACTTTCAGTACATGTGTACCACTGTCTGTTCAACGGAAGCCAGTCTAATGACCAGCTTCTGCTGAACAGTCATCCTGCAATCATAGGAAAACACAGAGGGGAGGGTGTTTTGTGTCCTGTACTGTGCTAAAAAAAAAAAGTATTTTACAGGTAAGTCAAAAATGTTGTTGTTGTTTCTTAATAAAGTACAGGACTCCTTTAAACCTTGACCATGTGATGTCTCCAAGGGTGGGCAACACAGGAGACAATGCCAACAGGCCAAATACAAAGGAAAAAGGTTCTCATTTCAAAAAGCTGCTTTAGAGCCTGAACATTCACCTGCTAAAATGTCACACGTGTCAGAGGACCAGGTAGTAGCATTGCAAATCTGGCAAACAGATGCCTAATGCTGAAAAGCCCAAGAGACACTGAGTGAATGAGTCAAGTGAATCTTAAAAGGGAAAGAAGGAGTTTTTGAAGGTTTTAGCCTTAGTGATAACCTGCCTAATTCACCTATTGATGGTGGAAAAAGATGCAGCCTTTGCGAGAGCCCGCAGGCAAAACAAATAGAGAACCTAAAGTTTGGATAGAAGCAGTGGCAAAAAAGTAAACTCGTACTGCAAATACTACTTCTAAACAATGAAGAGATACCTCTTTGAGGTGTAGGGGAAAAAGGCAAGTTGATGCCCTGATTAAGGTAGAAAGAGGAGACAACCTTAAACCATATCTTGGGTCAAAATGTAAAATCATATATTATTTTCCACATTGTATTTCAATTGTTTCTAGCCTATTCCTATTATTCTGAACAATCTTGTAGTATGTAAACTTACCTTGTGAAGATCCCCATTTGTTTCCTTGAATTCCATGACATATTGCTATACATTGTTGTTAGACAATTCTGTGTCACAGAATTCACAGAGCCTGCATTCTGAACTACAGAGGTGCTTGGTGGAGGAGTTTCAGGAGGTGGAGTAAATACAGGAATCACATTTTTCAGGCAGCAAGCTGATGATCAGTGTGCCCTGATGATCAGTGTGGCCCCAGAAGGGCCACCTGTCAGTGTCCATCAATGCCAGCTGTCAGTGCTGAACAGTGCCACGTGCCAGTGCCCATCAGTGCCACATCAATGCCACATATCAGTGCCTGCCAGTGCACAGCAATGCCACATATCAGTGCCCATATGAGCTGCCTTTCAGTGTCACCCATCAGTGTCAGTCAGTGCCACCTATCAATGCCAATCAGTGCCACCTATCAGTGCTGCCAATCAGTGCCGCCTATCAGTGCCAGTCGGTGCCGCCTATCAGTACGCATCATTGCCGCCTATCAGTGCCCGTTAGTGCCATCTAGCAGTGCCAGTCAGTGCCACCTAACAGTGCTAGTCAGTGCTGCCTATCAGTGCCACCTATCAGTGCCATCTATCAGTGCCGCCTATCAGTGATGCATGTCAATGCCCATCAGTGCCACCTACCAGTGCCTCCTCATCAGTGCCCATCAGGGCCACCTATCAGTGTCCATCAGTGCAGCCTATCAGTGCTCATCACTACAGCCTCATTACTGCACATCAGTGAAGGAGAGAAATCACTTATTTACAAAATGTTATAACAAAAACTAAGAAAACCTTTTTTTTTTTCAAAATTTTCAGTGGTTTTTGGTTTGTTTAAGAAAAAATAAAAATCACCAAAAGAAAGCTCTATTTGTCACAAAAAAATGATAAAAATTTCATATGGGTACAGTGTTGCATGACTGCACAATTGTCATTGAAAGTGTGACAGCACTGAGAGCTGGAAATTGGCCTGGGCAGGAAGGGGGTAGAAGTGCCCTGTAGGCAGGAAGAGGGTAGAAGTGCCCTGTAGGCGGGAAGGGGGTAGAAGTGTCCTGTAGGCAGGAAGGGGGTAGAAGTGCCCGGTAGGCAGGAAGGGGGTAGAAGTGTCCTGTAGGCGGGAAGGGGGTAGAAGTGCCCTGTAGGCGGGAAGGGGGTAGAAGTGTCCTGTAGGCAGGAAGGGGTAGAAGTGCCCTGTAGGCAGGAAGGGGGTATAAGTACCCTGTAGGCAGGAAGGGGGTAGAAGTGCCCTGTAGGCAGGGAGGGGGTAGAAGTGTCCTGTAGGCAGGGAGGGGGTAGAAGTGCCCTGTAGGCAGGAAGGGGGTAGAAGTGCCCTGTAGGCAGGAAGGGGGTAGAAGTGCCCTGTAGGCTAGGGGTTAAGTGTAAAATAAGAATAAAACATACATTTCTCCTAGATTGTAAGCTCGAAAGAGCAGGGCCCTCGAACCCCTCGTGTATTGTATTGTTACTGTCTTGTCTCATGTTCTGTCCCCCACTATAATGTACAGCGCTGAGCAAACCCTTTGGCGCTATATAAATACTGTATAATAATAATAATAATTTTTGCAATATATGTTAAAGCGTCACTAAACAATTATTGTAAAATGAACATCTAAATCCAGCATATAGTACTACACCCTTGCAGTTTATTATAATCCTCAAATTCACATACAGCTTTTTTGCCTCATCAATGTGCTATCCACATGCCCTCATGTAGGTTTTTTTCTTTCACTTCAGCTTTGATGGGTATGAGCAGTGTACGTATATCATGGTCATATGCACTGCTCTGCTCAAGTTACAAATCACATCAGCACCCACTAACATTACTGTGTACATGTACATTTTCATTTATTCAGGTTAGTTTTCCTGGTCCTGCTGAAGCCCGTGAATGGTGATGTGTAGGCAGAGATTTTTATGGGTTAATGTGCCAGTGCTAGCTACATCTGGGCATATTGCTGTCCTTGTTGGGAGCAGGGGCGGACTGACAATTCATGGGGCCCCCGGGCAATAGGGGATCATGGGGCCCCTGTGTCCTTGCCCAAACTCAAAAAGCCTATGAGGAAGGTACCAGGGGCATCTCATGGGGCCCCCTACTGACCCCAGGCCCTCGGGCAGTGCCCAAGTTTCCAAATGGTCAGTCCGCCCCTGGTTGGGATTGTGTCGAGGAGGCTATGTAACCACCTACAGTGGGACCATGTAGAACAAATTCAGCCACTCTCATAAAGGAAGTTGCAGCAGAGGAGATAAAAGAAATTTGGTGGATGTTCTGTTTGACGTTAACATTAGAAAGGACAAAAGTGTCCAATCAAGACATTAAATATGATTTTTTAAACTTGTGTTTAACACTTTAAAATTCACTCTGAAACTTCATGGAATTTGTACATTAACGATAACTCTTCATATAACTCTTCATGTCCTTATATTTACAGTGGTGGATACATTTCATAATATGTAGTATTCTGTCCTCGTTGCCATAGTCATGGAACAAAATACTTCATTTAAAACTAATTAACATCTGTGCATTAAGCACACAGCTACATAGTTGGATTGGGAAACAAACCCATATATTTGCAAAAACAGCATTTAAAAATAAAAAAGTTGTCATAGCAAAAAATATACTTTAGTTTTTGATCACTCACAAATAAATTATCATAGTCTTTTCTGATCTCAGAAATAAATGACTGTTTCATTGTTTTCTCATGTCTGCCAGACTGATATAAACAAAATGATGTTATTATCAAAAGGAATGTAAAAGCTAATGAAAAATAATTTAAATAAATATGATTTGTCAGAGCCCAATGACTTACTTCAAAGGGACAAATGTTTTGATTGTTCATGCAAGCCGAAGGATAATTCTAATAAAACAAGTAAGTTCAAACCGGGTATTGCTCAACACCAAAGCTAAAAGTTAAGGTTTCTAAACAAGCAACTCTCCATACAGTCAGGTCCATAAATATTGGGACATGGACACAATTCTAACATTTTTGGCTCTATACACCACCACAATGGATTTGAAATGAAACAAACAAGATATGCTTTAACTGCAGACTGTCAGCTTTAATTTGAGGGTATTTACATCCAAATCAGGTGAACGGTATAGGACTTACAACATGTCCTGTATGTGCCTCCCACTTGTTAAGGGACCAAAAGTAATGGGGCAATTGGCTTCTCAGCTATTCCATGGCCAGGTGTGTGTTATTCCCTCATTATCCCAATTACAATGAGCAGATAAAAGGTCCAGAGTTCATTTCAAGTGTGCTATTTGCATTTGAAATCTGTTGCTGTCAACTCTCAAGATGAGATCCAAAGAGCTGTCACTATCAGTGAAGCCATCATTAGGCTGAAAAAAAAAACAAAACAAACCCATCAGAGAGATAGCAAAAACATTAGGTGTGGCCAAAACAACTGTTTGGAACATTCTTAAAAAGAAGGAACGCACCGTGAGCTCAGCAACACCAAAAGACCTGGAAGACTATGGAAAACAACTGTGGTGGAAGACCGTAGAATTCTTTCCCTGGTAAAGAAAACACCCTTCACAACAGTTGGCCAGATCAAGAACACTCTCCAGGAGGTAGGTGTATGTGTGTCAAAGTCAACAATCAAGAGAAGACTTCACCAGAGTGAATACAGAGGGTTCACCACAAGATGTAAACCATTGGTGAGCCTCAAAAACAGGAAGGCCAGATTAAAGTTTGCCAAACAACATCTAAAAAAGCCTTCACAGTTCTGGAACAACATCCTATGGACAGATGAGACCAAGATCAACTTGTACCAGAGTGATGGGAAGAGAAGAGTATGGAGAAGGAAAGGAACTGCTCATGATCCTAAGCATACCACCTCATCAGTGAAGCATGGTGGTGGTAGTGTCATGGCGTGGGCATGTATGGCTGCCAATGGAACTGGTTCTCTTGTATTTATTGATGATGTGACTGCTGACAAAAGCAGCCGGATGAATTCTGAAGTGTTTCGGGAATATTATCTGCTCATATTCAGCCAAATGCTTCACAACTCATTGGACGCCACTTCACAGTGCAGATGGACAATGACCCAAAGCAGACTGCAAAAGCAACCAAAGAGTTTTTTAAGGGAAAGAAGTGGAATGTTATGCAATGGCCAAGTCAATCACCTGACCTGAATCCGATTGAGCATTCATTTCACTTGCTGAAGACAAAACTGAAGGGAAAATGCCCCAAGAACAAGCAGGAACTGAAGACAGTTGCAGTAGAGGCCTGGCAGAGCATCACCAGGGATGAAACCCAGCGCCTGGTGATGTCTATGCATTCCAGACTTCAGGCTGTAATTGACTGCAAAGGATTTGCAACCAAGTATTAAAAAGTGAAAGTTTGATTTATGATTATTATTCTGTCCCATTACTTTTAGTCCCTTAACAAGTGGGAGGCACATATGCAAACTTTTGTAATTCCTACACCATTCACCTGATTTGGATGTAAATACCCTCAAATTAAAGCTGACAGTCTGCAGTTAAAGCACATCTTGTTCGTTTCATTTCAAATCCATTGTGGTGGCGTATAGAGCCAAAAAATGTTAGAATGTGTCGATGTCCCAATATTTATGGACCTGACTGTAATTTGAAACTACAGGTTCTAGTGCATGAGCGATATCCTGTCTAAAGCCGTCAATGGTAACTCTTGTAAGCAATTAATAATTGATTTGAAGTACAACTGACAGTCATAAAATTACTTTATCTCATAGCTATGCAGTCATACAACTAAATGTATTGCTTGCACCATGATTTAGGGAATGAAGTTGGCCATAAATCACAAGATTTAATCTCAACAAGCTGAACGAGAAATCCATAGAGTCCCTCATTCATGCAAAAAAGTGTGAATGGACTAACATCCATGCTGAACAATGTGGAAGGACTAATCTCCCACTACCAGCAATTGTATTCTGATAGCCAATAACACTGGCTGTCAGAATTCCTGAACATTGCCTGCAGCTGAGTAGTTGTAGTCACTGTTGAGCCGACTTTTTTCTGTCTGGATCCCTTGGTTTCTCAAAGTTGAGGGTGATGTTGGCAGGGCCACCTACAACTCAAATTTCAGCTGATTCTAAGGAATTGAGTGTGATTCAAGCCATTTATGGCAAGCTTAAAGTGGTAGTAAACTCTCATTTGTATTTTACCTTCAGGTAAGCCTATAATAAAACTTACCTGTAGATAAAATGAATATTTCCTAAACGTTCACCATTTAGGAGATAATCTACAGAGCTGCAGGCAGTAAAATCATCGGTGCATGCACAGGCATGCCATTCCTTCAGAGCTGTGTGCCATGGCTGAAACTCCTGTGCACATGCGCGGGAGTGACGTCATCTGCGGCTCAGCCATTCAAGCAGCTGCAGCCTGGGAACCCAGAAAGAAGATGGAAGGCCTGTCAGCGGCAGGGGCGGACTGACAACTCATGGGGCCCCCGGGCAATAGGGGATCATGGGGCCCCTGTGTCCTTGCCCAAACTCAAAAAAGCCTATGAAAAAGGTACCAGGGGCATCTCATGGGGCCCCCTACTGACCCCGGGCCCTCGGGCAGTGCCCGAGTTTCCAAATGGTCAGTCCGCCCCTGGTCAGCGGTGACAGCGCGCCGCTGGAGGGCTTTGTTTTAAGGTAGGTTTCACATAATGTGCTAGTATACAATGCATACTAGCACATTATGATATTACTGTGAAGGGGGAAAAAATTTTTTGTTTGGAACAAGTTTACTACCGCTTTAAGCTTGGGTGCCAACATCTTAATTTGACTGCAGATTTTGACCAAATTTAAAGTATTT